AGGACAAATAAGTATCCTATTCAACACATAACATGTCGTGCTTACGACATCGGCCCAAAAACATTTTGGTAGACCACAATCATTGAGCATTGTTCTTGCTAACTCCTCTAAAACGCGATTTTTGTGCTCCACAACTCGATTTTGTTGTGGAGTTCGGGGAGCCGAAAAGTTATATTCAATACTAAGTTTGTCACAATATTATTCAAAAATATGATTTTCAAACGTACTTCCATGATCACTTCGGATGATAGCTATTTTGGAATTCAATTTATTTTGAGATAACTTGGAAAAACGTATAAAAGCCGAGAATATTTCATCTTTGCTACGTAAGAAACACGAATACACTTCCTAAGTCTAGCATATAGATATTGTCTACCCTCATACCATTAAACATACACTCCTTCTTTTCATTATGTGCAATTATACAACAATCTTTGGTAAAAGTTACCTTGTACCCTTTGTCACATAATTGAATAATGCTAAAAATACTATGTATAAGGCCTTCTACTAACATAACATTTGAGACATCAATAGTTGAGGGATTAACTATACTACCTCTTCCAAGTATGACACCTTTGTTGTCATCACCGTAAGACACATATCCTTTCTTCTTTGCCGCAAAGTCGGAGAATAGAGAAATGTCTCCTATCATGTATATTGAACATCCACTATCGAGAATCTGTTTTCCCGTCATAGAGTCAAGAAACTCAACATTATTTTTCTTGCCTTGTCGTTAATTGGCCATGAAAAAATAATTTGCTTCTTCATCGCTCTCACTTAAGCTTTCCTCGCTTGAGGCATCACTTTCACTATCCCAAGCAACATATGCCTTTCTAGGCTTCCTAGAATTGTTTTGTTGACTTTTTCCTTTCTTACTAACAAGAGATGGACAATCCGGTCTAAAATGACCCGACTTTCTACATTGATAGCATATACTTTTTCCCTTGTTCTTTTTGTTGTCTTCATTTTTGGAGGATGTAGATTGTCGTTTGAATCTCACAAGATTTTTGTCGGAGTGTTTAATACCATTCTTTCGAATGTATCGATTGTATATCATAACAAAAAGCTCCATTTGCTCATCATCCGAGTTTTCTTCATCACATGAATCACTACCATTGGCTTGCTTTTCCTTTGAGGATCTAGAATTTGAAGCCTTAAGAGCTTTAGACTTCATTTCTTCCTCCTTATTGGTTTCCTTCTCCATTTTCTTCTTTTTCTCAAGCTTCTTTTCATGTTCATCCAAGCAATTTAGTTCTTGCTCGTGTTCTTCTAACTTTCCGAACAAGGTGGTGAGATCAAGTGTTGTAAGATCGTTGGCTTCCTTGATGGTCATAACCTTTGGTTTCCAATTCCTAGTAAGACACCTTAAAACCTTGTTAGTATAAATAGCATTGGAAATAGGATTACCTAGCAAGTTTAAACGATTAATAAGATGTGAGAACCGCTTTTGCATTTGAGCAATGATTTCACCATGCTTCATGCAAAAAAGTTTGAATTCTTGATTAAATGTATTAATTCGGGCTTGTTTGACCTCATTAGTTCCCTCACGGGCAACTTGTAGAGCATCCCACATAGCCTTAGAGGTCTCACAATGAGAAACACAATGAAACTCATTGACACTGAGAGCGGATGTCAAAATGTTTTTCTCTTTCCAATCGTGTGACCACTTATTATTATCTTCGTCATCCCATAGTTTTTCGGGCTTAGGTAAGGTAACACCCTCCACAACATATGTAATTGGTGTAGGTCTATTTTGAGTGACCTCCCAAACAGCTTTATCATAAGAATTCACATGAATTTGCATACAAGCTTTTCAATAACCATAGTTTTCTCCCGTGAAGATTAGAGCTCTTTTATAATCCCCTTTAGGTTCGTGATCCATTTTCTAATAAGCGTTTTGAAGCACGAAATCAACTGGGCTATTGATGCCACTTGTTAGACGATGGCGACTTGTCTAGAGGGGGTGAATAGACACCTAAGCCAAAATCACCAAATAAAATTTGGGCTTTAAAGTTACTTGAAAAATAGTGCACACGGAAGATTTTGGTGTGAATCGACAAAAGTCGTCTACACGAACCTAGTTATTGGAACTCAGATATGCAAAGCCAATTATGGAATGACAAACACAATAATTGAATTCAAACTTTAATCAAGTATCACGTTATTACTCGTTTAAACTAATTACTTAGTAATGTTATTTCCAAGATAATAAGCAGAAAATATTGAACTAAGCAATTTATCAAACACTTGGTGTGCGAACGAATTTTCAGAATTTACTTTGTGTTGTTGTTGATATCAAAACCACTTATAATCAAAAGTGATTATAAGCTAATCAATAACCAAGTTAAAACAGAAGGATCACGGGAAGATTATTATGAGTCAATCGATTAATCAATGTTATTTGACAAGTTCTGTAATGAATAATAAAGCGAGTAAAGAGATAATAGAGAGATTAACACGAGGGTTTGTTCACACAGTTCCCCACTTTCGTTCTCGCGTCTAGGTACTTCTGCGTCTAATTTCCAATGTGGAATTAGGATACTTTCTTACTATGCAAAAAGTCGATATACAAGAAAAATGTTCAAGAGCAAACATACAGAAACTACCGGTTCTAATGTTGATTCAACCCCTTTTCTTCTTTTGATCTTGAGTAAGACCAAGAAAACAATGGATGCCAATTGACTTGTGGTATTGCTACTTCTTTGCATTCTTTATCTCCAAAGCTTTTGCGCACGATCAATTACACTGATTGTTCCACAAGACTTCAATTTGATTTTTCGTTCTCCATCACTTTCTTTGCGTTCTTTATCTCCAAAGAGTCCTTTGTGTACTTTATCTCCAAAGGCTTTTACAATGCCGCAATACTCTCTTGAACGTCTTGCATGAAAACCCACAAATCTTCACACGATCTTGGAGGACAAACCCATGGTTTTTCTAGATGAAGAACCCTACAAATGTCAACCCAATATCTCTGCTACACAAGAACCCAATTGGACTTTATCGGGCCTTCGCCTAGCTGACACCCTAGTAAAATATTATTATGTGTGATTTGTTAGTGTGTAGACATACGACGAAGGTTGAAGATGATGAGAAAATGCAGGATAATTTTATGGTATCACCCATTTGGAATGAAGCATGAATGATGTATTGATAGTTTTGGAAGATTGGTGGCAAAAAGGTAATTTTTGAAAGAAAAAAAGTAACAGAGCTGACAAACTTAAACAGCATGTGTCGGCCTGAATGCTGGATGTGCCGACACATACTGTTAAAAATAACATCATATGCCGACCTGAAATGATCTATCTGCCGACCCAAATGAAACATATCCTACAACCTTTTTTAGGACAGTAGATGTGTCGGTCTGAAACATGTAAGTGCCGACCCAAATGAAACAAAAATTACATTCTTATTTAGGACAGTAGATGTGCCGGTCTGAAGCACGTCTGTGCTGGCACATCATGGTAAAACTTTCAATATGTGCCGACCTGAAGAAGGCGTGTTACGACCAAAATAAGACAGAAGCTACATGTTTTAATATGGAGTTACATGTGTCGGTCTGAAATGTGTATGTGTCGACACATGTAGTGCATTTTTGTGCAGAAATCTATTTTTTTTTAAAATGTTTTTGGGCAAGTTCAAGGTGATTTTTGATAATTCCTAAGACCTCTAATGCAAGGGAACCACGCATACTCAGAAACTACTGTTCAATATACCAGAATGCGAAGTAATTTCACTGTTTTGACATCATGCAAAATATCTCATGGTGAAGTTGCACTCACAAATCTACTCTGATTATTGTGTGCACCGACTATTATTTAAACGCATTTTCACCCATTTTTGGTGCTGAGGATAATGTTGTGTCTCTTTAGTTGTTTGTCGATCAAGTCTTATAGTTGGAGTTGTTTTGATATGTAACATGAGGGAAACGAGTTGTTCTTTTATTTTATTTGTATGTTGCATTTATTTCTTTTGTTTTGGATGACAAACCACTTTTTCAACTTATTGTTGTTGAGGATTTCAATACCAAGTTTTCTATAATTTTCTGTTGCTTATTCAATTATTTAATTATAATTATGTGGTTCATGTATGTGTGAGTAACATCCGATTTAGAGGATATATGTGTCATACATGCTTTATTTAATTAATTGTTGAGACGGGAATTAATGTGTTACACCGAAGACGTGAAACAACAAAATTGATACTTACCTTTTTCAAAATGGATTTGTGAAAAGTCCATCTGAATCATCTCTATATGCGAAAATAAATAGTGCTAATTTCTTGATGGTTTGTCTCTATGTTAATTATTTAATTTATGCAGGAACAAATTCTAATATTGGGCAATTACTCAAGGAAGGAAGCAATGATGAAACAATATGAGATGACAAATCTTAGATTAATGAAGTATTTTTTTTTAGAATTCAAGTGAAGCAAACAAAAGGCAAGATTTTTATTACACAAGAAAATACATTCATAATTTGCTTTAAAAATTCAGATTGGAGAGTTGCAAACTAGTCTCAACTCCCATGGAATTGAATGAAAAATTGCAGCGGAAGATCCAAAAGTCTATAGAAGCCTTGTTGGTTCCTTGCAACAACAAAGAGGATTTTGCGCAGCATATATCATTGTTATTGGAAGGAGCAACATAGTAAAATTTGGTTACTACCAAATTAATCCTTCTTCCAAATTCCAAACTCATTACCATACACACCAACAAATTTAAATCAATTAGAAAAAGTCAAATAACCATTAACAACCTCCCTTTGGAAGAAAAAAAAAACATTAACATCCACAAGAAAACCTCATGAGAGCCTTAGCAAATAACATCATCAATCCTAAAACTAATGGTTTTTCAACCTCAAACAAATCAAAATTGTTATCTTACAATTTCACACTCGTTTCTTTCTATCATTACTCCTTTTATCATCCATCTCTTTTAACTTATAATACTCTATAAATGAGATATGAGAAAAATCATTATCCTTACCGATTAGTATAGTAAATTATTGAGTGTGATCATAGGTACCAAGTAATTGCCTTGCACGAACCCTAACTTGTAAACGAACAAGTGCATGCATGCACTGCATTGCTATACGCGATTGTCTCCTCACATACAACCCTCGAACCAATGCTTGCAATTTCACTAAACTTTTCAACGCCCTATGTGCTCGTCTTGCCTGTTCAATTCAACAATAACAAATCAAACATGATAGACATAAAGCACGAACGCTCCTAATACAACATTGACACGGCGATATGGATAATAATTTAATAAAATAAATAAATTTAACATAATCATAAATGTCAGTATATATCTACATGGACAATTTTTCCAGAGGTATCAGTGTTGTATAGATTTATACAAATTATCAATTACTGTTACATACGAGATGAGCCCTGAAATGAGCTTGAATCTTTATTGCAGCAAAGTTCTCCTTAGAGAATAATTTGGATGATGAAGAATTAATTGGTGGTGGTGATGGCAAACTGATAAAGTCTTCTCCGGTGGAGGTGGTAGTGGTGGTTGATTCATTATCAAGTATTGGTTGTTCGCTTTGATTTATGCAAACACTTATACGAGGAGGGAGAGTTATGTCTCTCTTGGATGATCTTAGGAATTTTCTTCGAACGTTTCTCAACCATTTTTTGGATACAACCATTTTACTTTAGCTTGGTTACTTTTTGTTTGGAATGTGAATTGTATATATGGACATTGGGATAATTAATTTTTAATTTAAAATTAAAATTTTGATTAATTTAATTATATTAATTAATTCATTAATTATAATTTTTTAGTATGAATTATATGAAATATTTTTGTTATACCTGTGTTGATGTGATTGATTTATTTACGCTATGGGAGGAAGTGGCGTAAAGAAATGGGAGAGTTTGTTTGTGGGCAACATGTTTGGTTTTGAAATGTCAGAATTTAGAAAACGGAAAACGTGGGGAGATGTTTTGCTTTCTGATGGGTAGAGTGTGGTTAAAAGCATTCTCTTATCGAAATTTTATTTCATACCTCTACAATTATATCCATATTCCTGCATTAAAAAATTTTGGACCAAAATACCCTTAGTATAAAAAACTATAATTTTTTGGTTTGTTTACCGGAAGACTTTTTGGAAGTCTTCCGGTTCACATTTTTTTTAGTTTGTTTATCGGAAGACTTTTTGGAAGTCTTCCAGTTCACATTATTTTAGTTTGTTTATCGGAAGACTTTTTGAAAGTCTTTCGGTTCATGTTTTCTTTTTTAATTTTTTTTTAATTTTTAATTTTTTTTTAATATTTAAATTACAAATATATTTATTCTATTTACTCTATTTTAGTTAATTAATATATTTATTCTATTTACTCTATTTATTCTGTAATTTGTTATATTTATTTTATTTATTTACTTAATAATAATTATTTCACTAATTTAATTTTTTTATTAATTTACTATATTTATTTACTTAATAATAATTACTCAACTAATTTGGTATTATTTTTTATAATCAATAAAAATAAAGTTGTGAAAAATAAAAATAAATATCATATTTAAATTATAATCCTATCATTTCTTCTATCAAAAATTTTTACCAAAAAATTATAATATATAACATTTATAATTATTTAAACAATATTTTATGGGGTAAAATATTAATTTTTAAAAATATATTTTATGGGGTAAAATATACTTTTAAAAATTTTCATCATAAAATATTAAATTTTAAAATTTGTAGGGGTAAAATATTAACTTTTAAAATATTAAAAACTAATTAAATCATAAATATTTCTTCCAAGTAATTTAAAAGTTAATATTTTACCCCTACAAATTTTAAAAGTTAATATTTTATGGTGAAAACTTTTAAAAGTATATTTTACCCCATAAAATATATTTTTAAAAGTTAATATTTTACCCCATAAAATATTGTTTAAATAATTATAAATGTTATATATTATAATTTTTTGGTGAAAATTTTTTATAGAAGAAATGATATGATTATAATTTAAATATGATATTTATTTTTATTTTTCACAACTTTATTTTTATTGATTAAAAAAAACAATATCAAATTAGTGGAGTAATTATTATTAAGTAAATTAATAAAAAAATCAAATTAGTGAAATAATTATTATTAAGTAAATAAATAGAATAAATATAACAAATTACAGTATAAATAGAGTAATTAGAATAAATATATTAATTAACTAAAATAGAGTAAATATAATAAATATATTTGTAATTTAAATATTAAAAATTAAAAAAATAATAATAATAATAAAAACATGAACTAGAACTTCCGGTAAACAAACTAAAAAAATGTGAACCGAAAGACTTCCAAAAAATCTCCCGGTAAACAAACTAAAAAAAATGTGAACTGGAAGACTTCCAAAAAGTCTTCCGGTAAACAAACCAAAAAAATGTGAACCGGAAGACTTCCAAAAAGTCTTCCGGTAAACAAATCAAAAAATTATAACTTTTTATACTAAGGGTATTTTGGTCCAAAAAATTCTAGTGTAGGGGTATCAGTATAATTGTAGGGGTATGGGGTAAAATTTCCTTCTCTTATTTGGATTGCAAGCTTAAATACTTGATACATAAAACTTGACTTTATATCCATATATTTAATCTGTCACTCCTATTATTTTTAAATTTTCTATTTTACTCATTTTACATATCAATTAATTTAATATTTCATTTTTACCGTTTTTATTTTAGTTTTTCTAAATAGATGAATTTGTACTCTCACTAAGTTTATTGAATCTTTGAGAAGATATATAGTACTTTGAGAAGATATATAGTACGTATTTTTACATTATCGAATAAGTCGATATTCGGTTTAAAGATTTGTTTATCAAATAACATATAACATAACTATTTGATTGTATAATTTATACCGAATAATTTGATTATAAATTTTCAAGACGTGTCTTTTTAGAATTTTTTTTAGAATAACCAAATATTAATTATAATTTATCATATAAATGAAATTTTTACTGTGAGTCCACCCGCTTTTGATGCCACTTGTCCAATGATGTCTGAGCATCTGAAATATCATGATGCATCCCAAATTGTAGCTTCACCCTGTCACTTTGGTGCATCTCCACTGTAGTGAACCTAATGATGAGTGTTCTTGATGTCCACACAGCAGCATCATTGGGGTCGGGCTGGTGGTCGAGACCCTCGTACGACATCCAGACAAACCGTTGGAACTTTAATTAATTAATGTTGGAACTTTAATTAGTTAGAGTGGGAATTGGAAACATTTGTTGACAATTAATGAGCAATAAATGAACACAAGTGAGAACTAATATAGAAGTGAATTTAAAAAGATTCATTTTAGTCCCACATTGAAGGGAATGGAAATATTAGTAGAGTTTATATATTCCAATTTTGTCTATTGGGTTGGGCCCTAAAGGGCACCCAATTTTGTGAAAGGAGTGAGGACACACCCATGACCAACAAGACAAACGCGCGCGCGCCGCTGCCGGCGTCCGTCCGGCCGGCTCGGTCCGGATGAATTATTTTTTGGACCCGAATTTATATAATTTAATTATCATTAATTAATAAATATTAATTAATTAAGAAAATAATTGGTCAGTAACTGCCAGATCCAGTCCTTCACGAATTTCTCATTCTCCCACCATTTTCTCCACTCACCACGAATTTCTCCCCACTCAGGTGCAGGTAGCTGCCTATAAATACAGGGTAGAAATTCAGTAGTGAGTACATCGAATTTCACAAATTCACGCGAATTTTGATTTCCCTTTTCTCTTCCTTAATTCTCTTCATCTCAAAAATTTTCTTTTCTTGACTGGTTATTTTCACCAGATACTTAGATAGGTGTATTTCTAGAGCGATTTATCAGTGTGCAACTGATAATCGTAAGTTGTTTGAACGGGTTGTTTTATCCTGGAGGCGTCGTCGTAAATTCGTCTGCTTTACATAATTTGACAGTACGGCGAAACGTCTTCAAGAAAGCGACCTAGTACGCGACTCGTCCCGATAATTTTCTTGTGCAAAATTCAATTTTTAAATCTGAAAACAACAAGTTTAAGACGTTTTAATAACTGCCATGGCAACTGAGGAAATTATCGATACTACTACGACCGCTTCGGTCTCTGACAAACCTTTCAGGTTTGAGGGTTCCAATTTCAAACGTTGGCAAGCTAAGATGAAATTTTTCTTATCTCTGAAAAAGGTTGCCCACGTTCTGACTGAGGATATCTCGGTTGTCCCTTCTGCATCATCTGAACTACCTAACGGTAACTCACTTGCAGATTCAGACGGGATTTCCAAAATGTCTGACTCAGATGCTGCAAAAGCTAAGGCTGCAGCAGATGCTGCAAAAGCTAAGGCTGCAGCAGATGATCTACAGCTCCGAAAAGAAATCGCCTTATGGCACGAGAATGATTATCTGTGCAAAAATCACATTCTGAACAGCCTTGCTGATGATCTGTATGACTACTACTGTAGCTACAAGACTGCTAAACAGGTATGGGAGGCTCTGCAAAGAAAATATGATAATGAAGAAGCAGGTGCGAAGAAATTTGCTGTCAGCCGCTACTTGAACTACAAGATGGTGGATGAGAAGTCGATGGAAGCTCAAAGCCACGAAATTCAGAAGATTGCACATGAGATCATTACAGAAGGTATGCCCTTCAATGAACAATTTCAAATTGCTGTAATTATTGACAAACTGCCCCCTGGTTGGAAAGATTTCAAAAATGTGCTTCGTCACAAAACAAAAGACTTTTCAATCGAGAGTCTGATAACTCGCCTCCGAATTGAAGATGAGGCTCGGAAACAAGATCAGAAAGAAGAAGTCTTAGTTGTGTCTAACAACAAAAAAGAAATTCGGTGCGGTTCTGAAGCCTACGGGCAAACCTTTAAAGAATCAGAACCGCAATGCTATGAACCGAACTAAGAATGGGAATCCCTCTAGGGCCCCACCGGCTCCATTTGCTAAGCAACAGCCACCACCTCAAAGAAATTATGCTCCGGTTTTTTCTTGCTACAACTGTGGGAAACCGGGCCATATGGCAAAGAAATGTAGGAGCAGGCCTAAACCTGCAGCTGGCTCAAATGCTCAGGTCAACCTGACTGATGAGCAACTCATTGCCATGATCACTGTAATCAACATGGTTGGTGGAAGTGATGGTTGGTGGATAGACACTGGCGCCACTCGTCATGTCTGCTATGATCGTGCTATGTTCAAGACATACATGAATACTGAAGATAAGAAAGTGATGTTGGGAGATGCTCACACCACTAATGTTGCTGGAATTGGAGATGTTGAGCTGAAGTTTACTTCAGGAAAGACTTTGATCTTGAAGGACGTCATGCATGTTCCTGAAATTAGGAAGAATCTTATTTCTGGTTTTCTTTTGAATAAGGCTGGGTTTAGTCAAACTTTAGGGGCATATTTGTACACCATCACTAAGAATGGTATTTTTGTTGGAAAAGGGTACGCCACTGATGGCATGTTTAAGTTGAATGTTAATTTGAATAAAATTTCTCCTTCTATTTACTCTGTGTGTGACTTTAATATTTGGCATGGTAGACTTTATCACGTTAATAAACGAATCCTTTCTAATGCAAGAAACATAGGCCTAATCCCTAAACTAAATGTTAATGATTCCAATAAATGTGAATTTTGCAGTCAAGCTAAAATAA